AATCATTTTTCTTTAGGGACTACTTATTCAAAAATTATGAATTGCACTTTGTACAGATTTTGCCTACCCCGTCTAAAATTTGCATGTTAATTTATTTTTACTTGCTTTGATGGGACCCCGACGGGTCTTTCATAAACTATTATTACCTCTGAGATTTCGAGCTCTCACCTCCAATCGGGGATTTTCGCTGTTCTTTATGTCATCTCCGCGTTTGGAACCGACCAGTCTGTTGACGATAACGGCGGAGTCCTCTGTCTTCGCTATCTACTAGTAGTTAAATTGGTCTTCGACGAGGTCTCAGGGTCGCATCTCCCCCTCCTACGCTGGATTCTAAGCAGACTGTGACCGATCGCTTTCTGGTTCCTCTAATCTCGCCACCTCGACGCCGATAGTCTCAAATGCATTGAGCATTTAGTTTTGACAATGTCCATTTCGAATCTATCATTCATAACCACTTGCAGGCAAGTCCTGTCCAAACTACATATTTGCTTTTATGAGCGGCAGATTATTTCTCGTTAACAGTTAGACAATTCATATTCATTTGAATTTTTCACTGTTCGCAAAACGCTTACATAAGCATGCACTGAAAATTTATAATGACTATGTTCGCTCTCTCACAAATTCACCCGAAAACTTATATTTACTTGCTTTGATAGCACTCTGAGGGAGGCATTACTAAATAAATGATGATATTAGTTGTATTTAATGCCAGTTTAAAGGCATTATCATGGAAGCGTTAAACACAAATCCGGCCAGTAGTGAAAAAAAACTCCTGTGGAAAAGGAATAAAAATATAGTTGATGGTGGTTTTATGGTTTGGGTTTCAAGAGAAAAAAACTGCCAACCGCAAACTATCGACCATCAAGAAGGCACGAGTTGCACGGTACGGGATACTATCAGTCGCAATTCCTTTCATGAAGTGTGGGCTAGTCCAAACAGAGGCGCCGAAGAACAGCTGTCGCTGTTGCCTAAGGAAAGTGTTCATGGTGAGACCGGTCACAGTGGTCAAAGACCACAAACGCCATCGGTACGATAGTGTCCATCAGTGGATTCAGCACCCAAAATTTTTGGAAACTTTTCTGAATGCAAAAATCGAGTAAACGTTCTCTTAAATAACGGATAATTTTGCAGATTTTTTTACATTACTGGGTAGTTTATTCCAACTAGCAATTGCATTTACAGAAAAGAACTGATGATATTTAACAGTACGTGCCAGAGGAAGAAATAAAAAGACCTTACGGTGACTGTTACTTCGCGGGTGGACATGATGTCTTAAAATAGTGAGTGGGTTAAAGGTGCGAATATATTAAAGCTTGAATAGCAAAAAGTCCCTTTTTAATCTGCGAAACCATGAAGAACCAAGGCCTGTAAGTCGACAACGTTCTTGGTTAGACAAATGTCGGTCTTCCAGGGTTAAAACTCTCCTGGTAAAAAAGAGTTGAATGGATTCTATTTTCTTCTGCTTGGTAGCACGCATGAGGCCAAATAAAAACGAACAGTATTCCAGGCCAGGTCTAACGTACATATTGTAAAAACGCATTCTAATGTCCCTAGTTTTAAAGTTTCGGAGGATAAGCCCGGTCGTTCTACGTGCTTTGGACACTATCAAAGCACAGTGCTCCGAGAGAATGAGACTCTTGGAGTATGACACGCCCAGATCCTTAATAACCCCAGGCACATTTATGGCGTGACCGTCAATACTTATTTGAGGTTGGCGGTCGGCGCCAACCACCATGACTGAACATTTATGCCAAAAGAGGGAAAGGCGCCATGTGCGGCCCCACTGGGCGAAAGCCTGTAGATCGCTCTTTTCGAGTTCAAGCACGATGTCACAATCTGCCGGCTTATATCGATGAGCAACTTTCAGATCATTGGCATACATGAAGGGCTTACCATTCTGAAATACATCGAGTACATCGTTGACGAAAAGCAAAATAAAAGCGGGCCGAGTACACTATCCTGAATGGCTCCACTCCTCACACATGTGGGGTTTGAGATAGAATTGACAATCTTGAATGGTTGTGTACGAACGCCCAGGTAATAGGATATAAAATTCAAAAGTTTGTCACCTATTCCGAAAGAGGACAGTTTCAAGAGAAGAAGAACATGGTCAAAAGCCTTAGTGAAATCGTAATATACTGTGTAAAGTGCAAAGCCGTTGTCCCTAGCTTTGAAAACGAAGTCAAAGAAGGACAGTTGCTAAATAATAATAATTATTTTTATTAAAGACCCGTCGGGGTCCCATCAAAGCAAGTAAAAATAAACTTGCATGCGAATTTTATGCGAGGTAGGCAAAATCTGTACAAAGTGCAGTACACCGTTTTTGAATTAGAAGTCCGTTAAAAAATGATAAGGGAGTGGTGAAAAAAAATTCATTATAAAATTTAAAAATGATTGGATTAAAGAAGAAGAAACAGAGACTCTGGAAAAAGTATTTGCAACTTAGAGATCCAAGGTCACTCGCCGAATATAAGGATCAGCGCAATAAATGCCGCAAAGAAATACGGGTTGCTAGGACTTCTTTCGAGCGTCGACTGATAGCAGAA